CAAGGAGGTGTCCTTCTTGAGAATACCCTCCTGGCTGTATGTCTCGGCAGAGTGGCAAACTGACCCTCTGGCACGGCCACTGTGCCAGCACCACTCTCTTGCACGTCCTGCATCCTCTTGGGAATGTTCAGCAGATCGGATACATGTTCAAGTCCGCACCATCCAGCATGTCTTGTGTGACAGATACCCGGATGAAGATATTGCCCCCGAAAGCGGGATTCGGGACTATGTTCGAGCAGAACTCTGGCGGCGGTGGAAAGACGCCCACGTTCAGCGGGAACTCCTCGGAGATCTGGGAGGGATGCGAGTGGGTGTGGCCAGCCATCGAGGTGGGCACACTCATCATGCCGCAGGTCGGATCCTTCACCTGCATCAGCTGCTGTCGCATTCCCGGACCTCCTTGTATCTGTTGCTGCTGAGGCTGTTGCTGCACCAACATACTCCCGTGGCGGTGACTGTCCACCGCATGGATCTCTATCTGGTTGAAACCCATTCCGGCCGAGTCCGCCTTGTTCATGCCAATGGAAGTGGGCTGGTTGTCGATGCCATAGCTGTCACCTCGGTCATTGGTGGTGTGGTGACACTCGAGTCCAGCAGTTTCTTCTCCTGATCATTGAAGCTAACACTGGACTTCACGCCCGCCTTGTTGGCATGACGATGCTGGCGGGTGGTGCGTTTGCACAGACAGACCACAAACGAGATGGAGATCAGCAGGAAGACGGTGCCAAAGATGCCCATGATGAGGCCGAAATACCAGAAGGTCTCGGGGTGTTTTCTCCAGCACATGCTGAACGATCTCGCTGAGGTAGATGCTGATGTTCTGGGTCATACTGCCGATGGAATTCGAGCCCGTGCAGGCGTAGGTTCCTGCATCCAGGCTGGTCACGTTAAAGACGGTCAGGTTGCTCCACAGCTTGTCCGAGGAGATGCTCTCCGAGTCGAAGAGCACGTTGTCATTGTCCAGGATCTTTCCATTCAGCTCCCAGGCCACCTCCGGCAAGGGATCCCCATACACCAGGCAGCTGAAGGTGGTATTGCTTCCGATATCCGATGTTCTGCACCTCTTCGTTGTTGAAGATCTCCACCCGCGGAGGGCAGCCAAAGAGGTCGTCGTCCACGCTGTCCCAAGAGCGATCCTTCTGGGCAGGCGGACCCTTGCACACCAGACTCACGGAACTCAGGCGGCTGTTGACATACCAGCCGCGGAACTTTCGCAGCTTGCAGTTGCACTGCCAGGGATTCTCCTCCAGGGAGAGCGTCTTCAAGTTGGCCATGTGCTGGAACACATACTCGCTGAGGCTCTCCAGCAGGTTGTTCTTCAGGTTGAGGAACTCCAGCAGATTGAGGTTGGCCAGGGACATGGGATCTATGTACGAGATCAGGCAGTCGTGCATGTCCAAGGTGCGCAGGTGGGGCAGAATGGGAAACTGATAGGCAGCCAGCCGCTTGAGGGGATTCCCATTCAGGTAGAGTATCCTCAGGCGATCGTTTCCCATGAAGGTGTCCTTGTCGAGCATCTCCAGCTTGTTGTCCGACAGATCGATCTCCACCAGGATCTTCAGATTGCGAAAGGACTCCTTGTGTATGTACTGCACCTCGGACTTCTTGAGGTAAATGCGCTGCAGATTGAGCAGCCCCAAAGTGGAGAACTCCTCCCGGTTGAGATACGGAATGTGGTTGTCGTTCAGCACCAGCACCTGGAGCTCCGTGCTCAGGGTGTTCGGAATGGTGGTCAGCTGCAGGGAGCTGCAGATGGCCGACTTCTTGCCGTTGGTCCACTTGCAGGTGCAGTTGGAGGCGCAGCTCAGGGACCAGTCATCCGCCAAAGTCCAGGCCACCAGGCACACCAGAATCCAGCAGACTGAAATTGGTGGGAAAAGGAAATCTACTTTTAATAGAATCCTAACTGAACAGAAGGAGGGAACCGGTTTAAATCATTTTGGATATCTAAAAGCGAAAATTTTGGACACCAAAAACCAACTTTAGCTATATACTACCACAAAGTAAGTTTACTTTAAGAGAAGCTTAGTTAAGAATTAGAATTTAAAGGTCTTAAAGAGACTGAAATAGCAAAAAACCCCTAAAATGGTTGGAAAATGGAATTTAAATTAGGCTTAAAGAAAACATATATGTAACTTCTGTGGCATCGGTTCTTTTTTTGGATTGACCATCTATCTCGGAGCGGGGCACCAGCTGCCTGGGAATGACAACTCACCTGGCAGAGCCCTCGGGGTCCTGCTCCTCCTGCTCTCCATGCTGCGGTGCATATGGCTTCGTGCGGAGCTCCTGCTGCCGATTTTCCACGACCCTGGCAATTGATGACCCTAAATGGCTTTGGCTGATTCGATTGCCATGTTTCACATCATGTTGCCGCCGCCAGCAAAAAGGTCTCCATTACTCCACATTACTCAGCACTTTGGCCACACTTCTTCGGCACTATTGATTTTGCCGCTTTTTGTCCTCCTCCTCCAGCTTGGCTGAGTTCTTTTCTTTTAATTTGCTTCGAGTGGAAAGTTGGTCCTTCTGGGGGCCGATGCTACTGGTATCCTTTCAAGAATTCTTAAATCTGTAAAATGTAAAAGAGAATCCGGTATTAGCGTGAGCGGCCCAACAATGCCCATTGTAGTTGTGTAGTTCTAGTTGTTCCTGCAGCACCCACACTTGGCCCATTTGTAATCTCTGTTTACCGAGTTCGGCTTTGGCCTCTCCTCTGAATAGAGTGGGTGGTGGACTGCTGGACTGGTGGACTGGGCTCCAAGGGCGGTGCCAAGTGGCCGGGGTCTTAAAATCGCCTTTCAACAACATTTTGTAATTTGTTGTACGTCCAGATGGACGGCATAACAAAGCAACAACCAAAACCCGCAGGGGCACAGGCTTAAACTCAGGACATTCCCCATTCCCCATTCCCAAACCCATACCCACACCCATACCCAGCTTCATCCTCATTCTCATTTTCATTGGCATCGGCATCGGCATTGGCATCGGCATCTTTACAAAATCAGCATCAATAGCCTGTCGAATGCTTTTTACTTTTGTGCTCCCCCCTCGGGTTTTTTGTTTGTACTTCTTTTGAATGAAATGAAGCGGGACTGAGCTGGAAAAAGCCAACCAGGAGCGGTTTTAAGGTGGGAGGGCAAGTTCATTATTCACTGGCGGAAAAATAGTGGCATTGTAATTTGGATGTAAGATGGTAATTCAACAGGGATGAGCTGTGCATTCTATATTTATATATATGTTGGTATGAAAAGGGTAACAGAATATCGAAACTTGCCCATTCTCTGCCCCCACACGCACAGTAAACTCATAAACTACTCATAGAAATGGGTGAATAAGTACCCCACAACAACATCGTACGCACTTTGAAGTTGTGAACCCCCTAAAACACTTGTGACACTTTAGCCAACTTTATTCTCTGTGTAATACTTCTTTCTAGCATAAAAGTAATTTAGCTCAACGGAAAATGCCTAATTTCACACAATCTACACCGCTCTTACTGTTGCCAACCGAAGTTGGGCCACACTCGCTTGCCCTAAGGTTTCCTGGATCCTTCCCTCGGTCTCCTGACCTCCCTGGATCCACAACACCACCCGCCACCAACCACCGCATAAGGATGAATCCGCTCCGCTGGCAAACTAAGAGATACAGACAGACAATGAAAACGTAAAAAGCTCAAAAGGTTCATTTGTCAATTTGCCATTTGAATTTGTATTTGAGAATTCACTTGGCCGCTTTTGCGCTTTGTCCTTATGGCACCCAACCACCCACCAGGTCCCCCCCCCCCCCCCAGTTCGGAAAGGACGACCCACAAAGCCAGGCCAAAACCTTGGCAGCCTCAATTTCTGCTCATCGCTCGTTGCTGGCAATGCGGATAATATTTCCTGTGTCAGTGCAGCAGCAGTTGGCAGTTGCAATTGCTGGCTTTTCCTCAGCCTCAGACCGCTTTTCCTCGCCCCCAGTATTTTCCACTTTCCTCCCAATCGTCGACAGTTTTATTTTTGCTGCTTTATGAGCACACAGATAGAAAAATGGTGTATCATTTTGAGTTCCCAACTGGGAATTGGGGGGATAAATAATGGAGTTCGATCGCCAGAAAATTATTACCGATCAAACCACTCTCAATGCAGTTGAGTAATCAAAGTAGAGTTATATACTCCTGCGTTTTTAAGACTTTAAGGTAAGATATGAGGTTGAAGTTACTATGGTAAAATGATATATGCAAAGGAAAGGTAAAAATTGCAACTATTGTACCAAATTGAATACGAAATAGTCGAACTCGACTCTACTTCCAAGCAAACCTACCTGGTTGATTTAAGAGCCCTCATTAAATCCGAAAGTAGTTCCCAAATGAATTTTTCTCAGTGAAAAGAAATGGGGATAAAGGCTCTTAGAGGGCACTCCGGGCTGGAACCGCATCGGCACTCACAGGTTCGTTGATATTCATAAATGTGGCACAGTGGACCAAAAAAGCAAAGCTAATTTGATGGCCAATTGCCAAGAGGAGGCCAGCCAAAGCGCGCAACAATATTAAAAAAATATTATGGAGGAATATGTTGCGAGGGGACCGACTGCAGCCGCAAGTCGTAAAGCAAATCAATTAACTGATGCCACACAGCCATGGAATCCGACATATGCCCGAGTATATAGGAGATGATGCCCCAGAAAGATATGGGTTCCCCGACATTCTGCATTTCGGGCTCTGCCAAAGGCAGCATATAACGATTCGGAGATCTCGGGCTGCTGGTATCAGGCTAATCTGCCGGAATGGCCAGTAATTGTTAACCTGTAAACGAAGGACTTGGCAATTGCCAATTTGATTTCGAATCCCATTCAAGATAATCTGCGGCAGTTTAGCTGCAAATTGATTTCGGGTTTCAAATCCAAACAGATGCAACAGTGCGTATGAGCAATTATATGGCAGTAAATTAAGTGGACTGGGAACTGGGAGAATGTTAGTCGAATCAAAATTGAAATCTAGTTAGCTTAATAGAGCAGTGTTAAACAGACACAACAATGCATTTAAATAAAAAATGTTCTCTGAAATGGAAATAATACAGAGCCAATAATGGAATTCATTTATCAGGCAAACATTGGCTAGTTGGTAAAAGAGTTAGTCTTAAAATTCCGTCAGGAAATGGAGCGACGGAAATTAATACTTTCTGCAAACATATTGGCGCACACACAAATTGTAATACACTGTTGACTGAAATGCAGTTATGCAAAATGGAAAGAATTGATTATTACAGAATCAAAAAAGCCCCACTGCCTCAGTGCACTCGAATTAATTATGTATGTTAAATATTATCCAATCCTGCTGGAATTTAAAATGCGCATTTGTGCCTTAATCTCTGGGAGACAATCCAACTATCTCTTACCTTACACTTTTGGTCGGCGAATAAATTGCCATTTTAGTTTGCCACGTTTTTTGGCGCTCCTTTTTTACGTTGGTAATATACAATTCCATTTGACAATTGGAATTCAATTTCAATTTTTAGCTGGCCGAAAGTTAACTAAATGTCCGCCCCCGCAGCTCGACCACGCCTCGCTCATTTGTAAAACTTCATCAAATGTAATTGTCGGAAAACAGCAAAAAGTCCTTGTCCAGGACTAACAATTGGAGGCCATGCTCCGTGCTGCATTACCAAATTAAAAACAAAAACTAAACTAACTTTTCTGCTTTTTTCTTTCATTGCGATTTTTTGCCCAACTTTTCTTCTTTTGCCTTCATGGTGCGTAATCAGGGGCGTAGCGTTTAAACGGAGGGGTCGTTATGCCTGTTTTTTAGAATATGCAAATGCGACGGTGTTATCTGTTTGTTTATGTAACCAATCTGCGGCAGGTTTAGTATTTTTATGGAATCGCAATGTTTTGATAAGTGGCGTGTGACAAATAAAGTGGTTCTAACATGTCAGCTGTCATTCAGACGTTGGAAAATCACCCATGAGATCTATATTGATTTTACAGTAACAATATTTAGAAAAGAGACAAATAAATAAATATTTGGAGTTCCGAAAGATATTTAAGATTTACATAAACTGCATAACCAAGACGAATTTTTTTAGGAACATGATTTTAATATATATATTTTTATATTATGTACATCTTCAATTTGGTTCCTTAAAAAATAAAGTCGTTTTTCGGATTTTACATGCCTTTTTTCCTCCCCAAGAGACCCTTCGTTGGAATCCCCTTAACTCTAAGCCCCTGTGGGTATGCAAATGGTTTCTTTGCCGCCTGGCTGAGCACTTTCTCCTCCCCCAAAATAGCATCCACCCCTCCTGCCCCGCCCACCTGCAGCCCCTCCTGGCTTTCTCCAATTGTTTTGCTGTTGCATAAGCACGTGCGAATGTGCGTGCAAATGCAAATGGCGATAGAAAACTTTTTAAATTGAGCAAACATTAACAAAAAGGCAAATCCAGAAGTGGGTGGAACTTTTCCGGGCGGAGGGAAGAAAACTGGGGGGCGGACGGGGGCGTGGCACTTGCAAGGCGAACACAAATACGGAAAATAAAACAAAAACAAGAGCAGGTTGCTCTTATCGCCTGTCATCGGGTGGTGGCCTATTTGTTTTTCCTAGTTAAGACCAGGACTCGCCAATCTTTCAAGGACAGCCGCCAGGGCCACCAAAGTGTAAATTGCAAACTGGGATCCCCAAGGATCCAAAGTGGATCGGGGCGTCCGTCGTGCCGCAAATCCGCACATAATCGGAAAATGTCACAGAAAAACAGAGAGAAAAGAAGCAAAATTAATGGCACTCGAAGCGCCGCCAGGCCAAGATTAGATGCCGCTGACGTTGACCGTGTTGAGTTTTATTGCCGCCCGGAAATGGTTTTCATAAATACACAAAACTCCGCAAACAGCGAGGACGAAGGACGAAGGACCAAGATGGCAGCAGCAGACACTTATGGACGGGGCAATGCAATTATCTGGGGGCAGAGTGCAAGTGCAGCACATTGTACGTGCGAAAACGAGAAACAGGACATTCGCCTTAGCCAAGCAGCCCCGGGGCTGCCAGGGCGGGTTCCGGGGATCCTGGGGATCCTGGGGGGCAGGAGATGTACGGCGGAGAAGGACATAAACATGTGCCTTGCTCCTGCGTCGACGGAGTGCCAGCAAATGCAATTGTTATTGTTTGCCGTGGCCTTCGCAACGCGGAGCATTGTAAATTTATCATGAGCTGTGCTAGGATTACACAGAGAGAAATGTGTACTAGGGAAAATGTTTAAATAAACTATTAAAGATATAAAATTAGGGTTGTTAGTGCCATAAAAACCTTATGAAATTTATAAAAAAATCTTTTTGATTGCATTCATTCCATTTTAATTCCTAGCATTTCTTAGATTTCTTTCCAGTCCCGTCTTAATTTTCCCCAAGTGCACACGGATCTAGTGCTCCTGTCTCGCACTCTCAGTTATCTTGCCCATTATTGAACCCAAACAATAGATTGGCCCCGGGCGAATCAATAAAATCGTTCCGTAATCAGCCACCTGCAAGGCTTCCGTTGATGTGGGGCTCGGAGCCCCGTCTGAAGCCCATTGAATAGGAGATACCAGGCCTCCATTG